CCGAACACAGATGAATGAAGACGCACTGAGAACCGGTGACCTCAGTCTGACCCTGAGACGCCCCAGAGTCAGTGACAGCAACACCTACAGCTGCAGAGTGTTCAGAGAGGAAGGCCAATTCCTGAGAGAGAAATTGCTGGAGCTTGAGGTCAAAGGTCAGAGTTTGTCTCTTGTTGTTTGTTTCTGTTGGTCTCATTGTCTCTGTCTCATTGTCCTCTGTCTCCTCTGCAGAGGGAATCCAGGGCGAAGATGAGACAATCAACAACAGAAGAAGCAGTTTCACTGATCCAACTCCTTTAATGGCGGATCACTCCCATCATTGAATTTGATCTGCCAGTCCAGAGCTGTAGGACCCAGATCTGTTACCACTGCTGAACTCTTATCGATATCTGTGGTTGTTGTTGTGACCTTGTTGTGCCGTTGTCATGAATAATATTATTACATCACTGTTGTTCTGGTCATAACTTTATATTCATACGTTGCTGAATGTTAGGAACAAATTAATGCTGAGAGTTAGAAAGGTGTAACAACGAGTCTCCTCCACTGACCAGGAGTGTTCGGATGGAGATGTTGGTGGACGTGGGCCAGGGGCTCACAGTCCCATCACATGTCTACTTTGTAGAATCGACAGAACCCTGCGAGGATAATGTTGATGAACGAGAGGAAGAGGCTGACATATGCAAACATGGAATTTGAGGCAGAGCAACGAGGCTGGAAAGCAACAGTTTGCTCTGTGGAGGTTTTGGAAAGATCCCAACTGGTCCCAAGATGTTAGAGACCCACACCCAGGTCTGATCGACCTGTGGTGGGCCAGCCTAAGAGGAGGCTGAAACACCTGATGACGCGAAGTCCACAACTGAGGACAACATCTGCTGATGGTCACTAACATCCGATAACATCAACTGGTGGTCTGCATTAATAAGAACGTGTTCTCCATCTTGTCCAGATCAGACATCATAACACAGAGGTAATGATGTCTGATCTGCTGAGCCGCCACATGTTTTCAGTACTTTAGTACTATAATAGTACTTTAATAGTACTTTAATAGTACTTTAATAGTGCTGCCATACAAGCCAGGAGCCAGTCAGATTTACCTTTCGCGTACCCTCAAGTTCAGCCTGTTTTGTTGATCACGAAACACTTGATGACACTGAGGTGCACAGCTGAAGTTATGTCCCTAACATCCGCTGGTCACCGCTAACACCTGCTAACACCTGCTAACACCTGCTAACACCTGCTAACACCTGCTGGTAACCTAAATTGTGCAGAAGACCGACAAATGTACAGCCATTCACCATCTTGTCCTATATTAAAGAGAATGTGACAAGTAATAAAGACGTGACAGAGAATGATGAGTGAGAAATGAATAAGGAACGAGTAATTAAATGCCTGTTCAACCAGTTCTGAGTGTCATGTCGTCACATCTGGGAATCAAACCATGGTCACTATCACATAGCTGACAATGATCTGACATAGAAGGTGAAGACACTGGTGAACCAGTGAGCTGCTCACGTGTCAACATATTTTTGGACACAAGGTTGGTGACGTGTTGAGGTTGTTAACGGGGAAGTGAAGCTGCGACTCAGACCGATGCTCAGTCGTCCTCCAGAAGACATGAAGGCTGTGTCTCTGCTGCTGGGTGAGTCCAACACACACTGCATTCATCCGTCCATCACGTCATCCATGTGAAAAGTCTCGTTCAGCTGTTTTTGTTCTTTCTTGTTATTTATGAGTCTGAGTGGACATGTCCCCTCACCTGCCTCTAGGTGGCAGCAGTCCACAGGTGATCAGAGGACACAGCGTCTTTCTATTACTGTACCAGGACATATGCTGATAACATCATGTTTCACCACCATGGTGTGCAACGTTTTCACTGACCTCTTGTTGCAGGTGTGTCTGTGCTGCTGCTGTCTGGACTGACAGTTACTGCAGGTGAGCTACCTGTAACTAAACTACCTGTAACTAAACTACCTGTAACTAAACTACCTGTAACTAAACTACCTGTAAGTAAACTACCTGTAACTAAAGCTACCTGTAAGTAAAGCTACCTGTAACTATACTACCTGTAACTAAACTACCTGTAAGTAAACTACCTGTAACTAAACTACCTGTAACTAAACTACCTGTAACTAAACTACCTGTAAGTAAAGCTACCTGTAACTAAACTACCTGTAACTAAACTACCTGTAAGTAAACTACCTGTAACTAAACTACCTGTAACTAAAGCTACCTGTAAGTAAAACTACCTGTAACTATACTACCTGTAACTAAAGCTACCTGTAAGTAAACTACCTGTAACTAAACTACCTGTAACTAAACTACATGTAACTAAACTACCTGTAAGTAAACTACCTGTAACTAAACTACCTGTAACTAAAGCTACCTGTAACTAAACTACCTGTAACTAAACTACCTGTANTGTAACTAAACTACCTGTAAGTAAACTACCTGTAACTAAACTACCTGTAACTAAAGCTACCTGTAACTAAACTACCTGTAACTAAACTACCTGTAACTAAAGCTACCTGTAACTAAACTACCTGTAAGTAAACTACCTGTAACTAAACTACCTGTAACTAAACTACCTGTAAATAAACTACCTGTAACTAAACTACCTGTAACTAAAGCTAACTGTAACTAAACTACCTGTAACTAAACTACCTGTAACTAAACTACCTGTAACTATACTACCTGTAACTATACTACCTGTAACTAAACTACATGTAACTAAACTACCTGTAAGTAAAACTACCTGTAACTAACTGTTACTAATATAGTTACTAAATGTAACTGTCTCCTTCAGTCTCTCTGAGTGTCAGTCCAAACCTTCAGCAGTTCTTTAGTAAAGACTCAGTGTCTCTGAGTTGTGTTGAAGAAGGACAGACAGGCGGACAGACACAAGGACAGACAGGGGGGAATAAAGTGAAGAGGACAGCAAGAGGACAGACTGGAGGATGTGGACAGGACTTTTGGACAATGGATGGTTCGTCCTGCAGCATCTCAGATTTGTCGTCTTCAGACTCTGGAGTTTATTGGTGTGAAACCAGCGATGGACAAAAGAGTCAACAGGTCAACATCAGTGTCCAAGGTACAGTCCTCAAAGAGCGTCCAAAGACGAACTGTTTGTTTGTTTGTTTACCTGTGGGTGTGTCCTTCTCTTCAGATGATCAAGTTATTCTGCAGATCCCTGCACTTCCTGTGCGTACAGGAAGTGATGTCACACTGTGCTGTAGAAACAGAAGCTGGGACTGTGAAGCAGCGTATTTCTTCAGGGACGAGTCTCACCTCTTGTCCGAAAAAAAGGTTGAGTGGATCTTCAGAGACGTGAGACAGACGGACGAAGGGAACTACAGGTGTTCTATTGATCTGTACCATTCTCCTCACAGCTGGCTCAGGGTCGCAGGTCTGTGACATCACTTCCTGTTTTCACTTTACACACATACCAGCTGTAAATAAACAAAACCAGGTGTGGTCTCTCCACAGCTCCTCCCCCTCCTCCCTCTCCTCCCCCTCCTCCCCCTCCTCCCCCTCCTCACCCCTCTGTGTTCAGACTCTTCTGCCTCCTAGTGGTTGTCTGTCTGTTCTGCATCTGCTCCATCATCATGATGTCGATGTGCTGCAGCAGGATGACGGGTACACACACACACACAGTAACACACACACACACAC